GGGGGGGGGAGGTCCAAAAATCGTTTACCGAGGCGGACCCAAAAGTCTCTTAATTACCCATAAAGGATGAGATATTAAAGACGACTTACAGAATCTTACTTGTCCGTTTCCTTACATTAACGATTCTATGCAACTGCAAACTCGTTTCTTTCTTTGCTACATCATTTAATAACCTTTAAAAAAGACTCAATTAAAGGCTGCGGCCGTTCCTTGTCTGCAGATTTGTCGTTTTGTTGACATACTTTGGGTGATGATCGTTTAGCCGCTAGATGTTTAAAGTTTCTTATTAGTAAAGAGTGAAATAGGACGTACACAGTCGGAGACATGTGGTCGACCACTGCAATTTTAAAATTGAAGAACTTTAGAGCCCGTTCTCGTTATAGTGCGTAAACATCACGACCTAAATTTTAACAGTTTTATGGAGAGAACGAGCTCAGAAGTCTTAACGTAATCTTGAAATTGTCAATGTCATATCATGATTTAATGTTGGCTTTACTTTTACAACCTCATCGTTTGTGGGTAACCCTGTAGAAAAATGGGCCTGTTTAAGATTGCTAAAATTATGTGTAAATTGTTCACGGACCATAACTTAAGTCTAAAAGTCGCCAAATTATCCCAAAGGTTTCTGGTTTTTTCTGAGGAAGTCGATAGTTAAGCAGTACTAAGTGCATTTAATGTTTTAAAGCATATGCGTGCATCGTATAGCCAGAAAATCAGCTTATGAAATTTTATTAGAAAGGTTTATATTGCACAATTGCTGTGTTGAGTTTATTGTACCAAAAATTATAAAAGTAGTTTAAAATCTCTGAAAATCGCCCAAATTGTTAAGATTATTCCTAACTAATAAATATCTAGGGGAAAGGAAAGGCTAAGAAGGAGGAGAAGGATGAAGACGAAAAAGAGCCTGCGAGTGCTGAAGAGGAAGGAAGTGCTGGAGAGGGAGGAGAAGGAGAATCTGAATAAAGTACAAACTAAACTACCTCCTCAAATAATGTACTGTACTGTCAACCTCTTGTAATTGTACTAATCTTTGACAAAAAAAGAAAATTATGTTTCATGTGACCTTTTGACGTAGGCTTAATAAATATTTCTTTGATACCACTTGTTCAATTTAATCTAATTAAATTTTCTTATTACCTGATTTACTAACACAAATTTTATCATTAATATTTTATTTTATACATCTGTGAAGACATTATCAATTATCATGTAGCTTTTAATCAATTTTATGACAATTATTTTACAAACGGTTAGAAATTAGCCAGCTCGGAAGTCTCACTGTAAACAATTATCTAGTGTGAAAAATGTATTTCTTACGGAAATCTCAAAAAAATATTATGATCCGTAAGTCCTGCCATTTTTCTCGTACTCTTGAATAAGTCGTCTTTTCTCGGACTTTTCCTGCATATAACAAAATTAAGTTACAGAAACAAAAATTTCGTAGTCAAAGGAATGTAAAAATGTCTTTTTAATGGGTTTTACTAGTTTATACCTAAATCTCAGTACATAAAGAGAATGAGCTTCATATAGTTAGTCAATTGTTAAATCTAAAGCATTCCATTGTCATAGAAAACAAAATTTTATAAGCTCGTTCAGTATCTCTGATACTGTAGTTTCGCTGATATTCTAAGTTAAGTTGATAGAAATAGAAGTGACGGACAAACATATTCATTAACATTGTTATTTAACATCGGTTCTAATCTGTTATAAATTAGAATCGGGGAAACTTTTTGTTCAAAATATTTTTAGGATTTGCATTGTACACTAACACTGATTTAGGTGTTCAACTGTTGTTTTTCGTCAAGTGACAAACGCATTTCTACTGCAGGAAAACCTAATGATAAAATGTTTTTCAAAGTGACAACATTTTAAGACGATAGCTTAAAAACCGAGGGGGGGGGGGGGCTACATGTATTACAGACAACTGATAGTATTTACTTCTTACCTTCTCTTGAGTCTCTGTTGAAGGTTTCCTACACGTTGTATACCCGGAGAAAGCCAGGCTTCCCATCACTAGAACTGTAAATACAAGAGCTCCAGCTTCAATCAAGGTTCCGTATTCAAATCCGACATTGTCATAAGCAATGCTTCCTGAACATAACAGCGTTTATTATTCATCTGGATTAATTCAAGTTTAACGGATTTTCCGGAAAACCAACTAAATTTTATCAGAGGCATGCAAAGATTAGTATGCTTTAATGGACTGACGTTTTTTTCTCAGATTAGCCAGGTTATGAACTACTTTTTATATTTTTCTGAAAAGGTTTTAGTACAGGGTGTCCCACATCATATTAGATCGTTAACAGCTTTAAATAGCGATTTTCGGGATTAATCTGAACATTTAAAAAGAATGTATCTTTTTAAAAAATTGCATAAATCTAATTTTAATTTTTATTGTAGAAAATACTAGAGGTTTGCGTGGTTTGGCGTCAGAACAATTGGAGATAATCCAATATCAAATGGTCTATAGAACGCTCTTTATCTCAAATACATACAGAGTTTAATACATTAAGAATTTCTCCCGATAAACATGGGATTAACCATAGAAATATTGCAAATACCCTGAAAATATATTGTATCGTTCACGCTGATCTTTCTCATAGCAGAATTTATGCATTTAAGATTATCTGCACGACGGGTTATTTGAATTTCAGCCTGAATTTTACCATCTAAACGTCATACAGTCCCCGTATTTTTATCACTACAATAAAGACGACTTTCTTTTTAGATTTTGATTTCTACCAATCCATCAAACGTTAGACTAATTGATGCACATAAAAAAGAGAAGCTGTCAATTAACAGATTCTTTAAATGTTTACTTGTTATTTGTAAACAGCTTGTTATTAATAAAAACCTTAATAGATATGTCGTCTTCATTGTATTGATACAACCGCCGACAACTTGCACAAAAAATTGAAAACTTAAAGGGAATATTCTGTTATCTTCAACGCACATTGAGACTTATATTTTTTTGCCTCATATATACAAGGGGGGGGGATTTGAAAAGGTTTCCCTCCCTGGAAAATTTGGGGGGAAGGGGGTCCCCCTTTCAGGAAAATTTGGGGTACGCCCCCCTGGAGAAAATTAACTTGATTTTGAAGATATGATTAAAAAATTCCCTGTTGCAAATACATTTTTTTTGCGTCAATTGCAAATCAATTTAAGAGGGGTTTCTCCTGAAATACGGAATTCAGAAGCGTATAGAGGAAGTTTTCCAATAAAGAAGTGGCGGGGGGAGGCTCAGTCCTCACGAGCCCCTGGATACGCCCCCTAATGAAGTTTAAAAATAACAGAATTTTTCCCTTAACTTACCTGGGTCCGCGTGTTTATATTAAGTATAACACATCGCGTACTTGAAATTAAAAAAGAAGAAGAATTATTTGTTCTAAGACTAGGAAATTAAAACTTAAAAACAGGGATTTAAAAATCCGAATAAAAATGCGAACAAGGGACAATTTATGTAAAAAATGTAAAAACGTCCTTTCACCTTCTGAAAAAAATCGATTAGGTTAAAAATAATTTTTCTGTTCTTCTAATTTCCTAAGTCTTATAATCATAATTTTATAACGATAATTTAATGAAGATAAATGTATGATTAATGATTAAATAATTTAGTTTTTAATAAAATACCTAGAGTAGAACCAGCATATCCCCCTGCACAATCTGCTACAATCCATAGACTTGATACCATAGTCTTAACCTGCTCCGTGTCTGGTAGTCCTGCATCCTTTACTCCCTAGTATATATATATATATAGTCTACTTGATACTATAGTCTTAACCTGCTCCGTGTCTGGTAGTCCTGCACCCTTTACTCCCTAGTATATATATAGTCTACTTGATACTATAGTCTTAACCTGCTCCTTGCCTGGTAGTCCTGCACCCTTTACTCCCTAGTATATATATAGTCTACTTGATACTGTATTCTTAGCCTGCTCCGTGTCTGGTAGTCCTGCACCCTTTACTCCCTAGTATATATATAGTCTACTTGATACTGTATTCTTAGCCTGCTCCGTGTCTGGTAGTCCTGCATCCTTTACTCCCTAGTATATATATAGTCTACTTATACATATAGTCTACTTGATACCATAGTCTTAGCTTGCTTCCTGTCTTGTAGTCCTGCATCCTTTACTCCTTACTATATATATATATATATTTATAGTCAAAGTTGGGTTCCCAAGCAAGTATCTACATATAAAGTATCAATTTGTAGTCTGTTTGTCAGTATATCTGTTTGTATTGCCTGTTTCCCCTTTTTCTCCTGTTCTGCCTGTTTCCCCTGTTCTGCCCGTTTCCACCGGACATCCTGTACTCCATGTACACTGTAGTCTATGTAACCTCTCTTTGTACTCATTGTACTTCCTGTACTCAATGTACTCCCTTTACTAACCTTCATCATAATGAGAAGAGAACCTAGATAAGTTGCCGCTGAACCTAAACCTTGAACTCCAATGGATAGGACAGACAACCATAGATTTCCTAAATTTATTCAAAAAGTTTTTTTTTTGTAGAAAAAACAGACATAGAGACAACAATATTGGATGACTCAGAGATTAAGTTATAGATTGACCCAGAGACAAGAGTATGAATAGACCCAGAGAAAGAGTATGAATTGAACCAGAGACAAGGTTATGTATTGACTCAGAGACAAGGTTATGTATTGACCCAGAGACAAGGTTATGTATTGACCCAGAGACAAGGTTATGAATTGACACAGAGACAAGAGTATGAATTGACCCAGAGACAAGGTTATGTATTGACCCAGAGACAAGAGTATGGATTGACCCAGAGACAAGGTTATGTATTGACCCAGAGACAAGGGTATGGATTTACCCAGAGACAAGAGTATGATTTGACCCAGAGACAAGGGTATGTATTGACCCAGAGACAATGGTATGTATTGACCCAGAGACATGGGTATAGATTGGCCCAGAGACAAGGGTATGGATTGACCAAGAGAGAAGGTTATGTATTGACCCAGAGACAATGGAAATGGCTGACCAAGAGAGAAGGTTATGGATTGACCCAGAGACAAGGTTACGGATTGACCAAGAGAGAAGGTTATGTATTGACCCAGAGACAAGGGAAATGGCTGACCAAGAGAGAAGGTTATGGATTGACCCAGAGACAAGGGAATGGATTGACCCAGAGACAAGGTTATGGATTGACCCAGAGACGAGGGTATGGATTGACACAGAGATAAGGGTATATTTTGGCCTAGAGAGAAGTGTCTTGACTGAAACAGAGACAATGGTATGGAAACGGATTGACCCATGGAAAAGCGTATTGATTGACAAGAGTATGGGCTGACCCAGAGAGAATTCTATGTGCTGACCTGATATACCGAAGAAGGGTGGGATTGGACCCAAAAACAACAATCCAACACCTATGATACTGTTGCCGAGTATTAAAGCTGAGATGCCGTTCATTCCCTGAAAAGAGTTATATGAAAAAATATAGAATAATATGGGGGCTGGGGGAAAGGGGGGGGGCGTTTAATAAGTTGATACTGCAAATTATTTTAAATACTGCAAATTACTATATATTTTAAATACTGCAAAATTTTGCTTGTCTGTCTGTCTGGGTGTTTGTTTGTTTGTTTGTATCCAATAAACGTCAAAACGGCTGAACCGATCGGGCCCAATTTTTTTGTGGGACATCTAGGGACTCCAGGGAAGGTTTATGAATCATCAAAATTTCAGATATTTGTCTCCATCAAAATTCGTTCGTCATTAAATTTTTTAAAATTTAGAAAATCCGCGAAATTTTTTGTGAAAATCCGCGAATTATTTTTGTTTTGTTTTACGATGTACACAAAGAGAACATGTTCACAATTAATTTAGGAGATGGGCGCGAAGCGCCTTCTAAGGCTAGAGAGAAGGGCGCGAAGCGCCTTTAATTTCTAGTACTGCAAATCTTTATATAAATTTGGCTTGTCTGTCTGTTTGTATCCAATAAACGTCAAAACGGCTGAACCGATTGGGCCAAAATTTTTTGTGGGACATCACGTGACCACAGGGAAGGTTTATGAATGATAAAAATTTTAAAAAATGTGTTTTAATGGATTTTAATTTTGCAAAAATTTAAATTCTTGAAAATCCGCGAATTTATTTTTGAAAATCCGCAAACTTTTTTTCTTCTCTGTTTTAAAATGTAAACAAAAAGAACATGTTCACAATTTAAATAGAAGATGGGCGCGAAGAAGCGCCCTAAAAGCCTAGTTACTGTATATTTTAAATACTGCAAATTAATATATATTTTAAATACTGCAAATTACTATATATTTTAAATACTGCAAATTACTATATATTTTAGAGGATATGAAATTTAAATATTTAAATACATATTAAATAAAGAGTGTATGAAAGGAGAGGAAGTTGAGAAGGTCTTCTCCGGTTCCAGGGTCCGACACAACTCGTTTGCGGATTTCATAATCCTCTTTCGGGGATTTCATATCCTCTACAATATTTTAAATACTGTAAATTACGATATATTTTAAGTACTGCAAAGTACTAGATATTTTAAATACTGCAAATTACTGTATATTTTAAATACTGTAAGTTACTATATATTTTAAACACTGCAAATTACTGTATATTTTAAATACTGCAAATTTCTATATATTTTAAATACTGTAAATTACTATATTTTAAATACTGTAAATTACTAATTACTAAATTACCGAAAGCCTAGTGGAGGGTGAGAAGATTTTTTTTTTAGCTTTAAATATTTTTTGGTTTTTATAATTTCTAATTCATACTCCGACAAAGTTTTTAAGGGTACCGTTGTGAATCAGGCATTGCTATCTTTCCATGGAGGGTAAAGTGAAATTCCGCCTTCAGTACAAAATTAGTTTTACCTTATCCGCTAAGAATCCAAACATGGGTGTGAATAAAGTGTAGGTAGCTCCGAAAGCTGTAAAAACTAATCCAGTCTGTGCAGGATCCAACCCGTATGCAGAACTAAAATTATCTCATATACATCAGTAGTAATCTATGTTTGTTTGTTTGTGTGTCCAATTATAAATCCCTTGGTTGATTTGCGCCAAATTTTGATCTGAGAACTTGGTAGAATGTTCTTAGCTTGGTTAAACATGTAAGCAGGCCGAATTTAAAGAATTTGAGCGGCGGTTTAAATTTAAGCCGCGGCTCCAATATGGTTGGTTCCACTTAAAATTGTATTAAATGTTTCAAGATTTAAGCCGGCGCTTAATTTAAACCGGGTCTTGGCAGATTTAAACCGCGTCCGGCTCAAATTCTTTAAATTCCATCTCCGGCCGACTTAGTTTTTATGCCAAAGCTGGGTACCCAAGCTAGAATATTTGTATAACACTGTAGTTCGGGAACCCGCCTATGCCTGGAAACTAAACTTTTAATGGAAACTAAATTCTTAAAAGTCGACTCACTGAAGTTAAAATTATCAAATAAGGTTAATAATATTCCCGCAGAGTTCCCCCCCCCCCCCCCCCTCAAAATTTGAAGCAAATCTATCAAGGGGTTCATGAGTTATGATATATGTAGACAGAAATAACAATAAGAATGAAAATGTAGGTTAGGCAGAACCTGCATCAATTGAAAAGTTGTGCTAATCCTTGTCTTTATACAGTTTTAAATTTAAAGCAAAAAGAATTAAATTCAAGTTGACACCCCTCTCTCTATCTCAGAATTTTTTGTTTTTGATATATTGTCAAGTTTCTTACTCTAGAAAAGGTTCCAGCGTAGCAGAATACCAAGACCAAGCGCTTCCCGCAAATGCAAGACCGAACAGGCTTACTCCTACTCCAGGTGCACATAGAACCTAGAGAAATCATTCAATATCAAGAACTAGATAAAGGGCCTGGCGTTGCCCGTTGAAAAAAAAATCATCCCATTCAGTTTAGCCGTTTGGCCTGCTACAGGCGGAGGTGACATATTTTCTGAATAAGTTAAATAATGTGTACAGTGTACATGTGGCGTGTGCAGTTTACGAATTTTCATGTACAGTTAACATGTGCAAATGCCATACAGTAGATATAGCTGTAAGTGGTTATGTGCAGATACTGTAAACATATGAACTGCAGGTGCAGTGCATCAAACACGTGCTTTACAGAAAACATGTGCAATACAGTAGACACTATAGACATGTACGCCAATTTACAGTAAAGTACACTATACATAAGCAGTACGGAACGGTTATGTACCTGTTTCCATGTGATTCCCTCCTCCTCCTCTAGTCGAGTGTACATATCAGATTTATCCTCCAAGCAAATAATTGCTGACATGTTTATGAGAAATAGTACACCTCCTAAATTCAAATATTTTAAATATCTTCGAAATTAGAAAAAATTTAAATTACAAATTTTAATAAAATTCAATAAATTAATTATATTAAGCTAAAAAGAGGGCAATGTCCGATTCACAACGGTCTCCTTTTTTCCTCTAAAAAATGTTGAAAAATACTAATAAACGTAAATGTTGAAAAATCACAAGTCAATTTTAGGCAATTTGAAATAATAATTTTAAGCTAGAAAATATGGATATATTATTAGGCTTTGATCAAACAAAGGTTTGAAAATCGGACATGCCAATGTAAAAATATCAATTAAAATTATTATTTTAAAATTTCTATTTGCCATACCTGCAATCCAAAATGGAAGAGAAAACCCTCCAATTTGATATAAAAATCCTCCAATAGATGGACCAAACATTGTCCCAACACCAAAGCATGCCTCAGCTAACGATATTGCCTTACCCTGGAAGTAACAAATATTTAGAAACTTTTCAATAGGCCCGGGTGGTGGAGGTGGTGAAAGTTGTCTTAGATTGTCAAATATGTTTGTACGGTACCTAGTCCTCTTTAATGTGGTTTATGACTAAGATAAAAAAGTTTTTTTAGAAAACATTACAATTACTAACTTTTGAATTAGTATGCATTAAACCAGGGGATTACTAAAAAATTTATCAAGGTAGGGGCTTAAATTTTTTCTATTCTATAAAGGGGGCTTAGCACCCGCCGGGGCCTGCAAACTGTGGGTTTTACTGATCCACGGGGATTTGAGTCCCCATGTCACTCTGAGTACTCCCCTGCTTGAAAAAAAATCCAATAAAAATAAATAGTTGATACCAACCTGATGGCGTTCACCAAGCTGCTGTGACGCAAGAGCGTAACATGCCGGGGTCATTGCGGATTCTCCAATAGCAATGATGACGCGGATAAGGATGGAGGACCAGAAGAATACTTTACTGTTATTTATCTGAGAAAAAATATTTATAAACAAAAAAGAGATCAAAATTCACAGGAAACAATTGTGATTTTATTGATCTTTTTTATTATATGCAATATTTTGATCGTACAAACATGGAAAAAAACAGAGATTATACAACTTTATATATAGATTAAATTCTGGCTCTAATAAAAATATTTCAGCTGTTTATATAGGTTTTGTAGTAATTCTAAATTAAAAAAATTGAGACATGTGTATTTTTAAAAAGGTGACCAATGAAGAAGATAAAAAATAAGAATTTGAAGATAAGAAAATAAAGAAAATGAGAATAAGCCAGTGGACAATACTGGAGTAAAAATAATGATAAAGTTAAACCCGAGGCTACGACGACATCTAAACTCATCCCATAATCGTCCTTTCATTGATCATTCTGAGAGTCTCATGTAGAATTGTTCGTTTTTAAAAAAAAATTTGTTAATACTCGTAATTTTCATAAGAAATGAGAAATAATAGAAAGATCTGAAAGGAACCCTTGAAGTAGAAGAAATTTATCACAAAAGAAAATAATTTTTTCGAAAATTTAAGACCTTCCAGTAAATTCGGAGAATCACTGTAGTTGAGAACTGGCGCATCTGTGTAATCAAGTGTTTGGAGTTTGAAGATTTGTTTCAAAATTATATATTTAAATAAAAAACAGCTGGTTTCTACAAAACTAACATAATATTTCAGCAAATTTAAAGAGACAAATCAAGATTCTGTAAAATTGCATTTTATTAATGTGCATACAAGTGGTTATTCTTCTTCCTCTTTTTCGTTTTCTTTCTCAATAATATCAGCTTCTGTTTTATTGAGAACTTCTGGATCAGATTCAGCAACGATAGCTTCAGCATCTTGAGCTACAGCAACTTTCTTAGCATCGTTAGCTAGAGCAGCTTTGGCTTTCATAACTTTAGCTTCAGCTACATCAACTTCAGGTTCTTTATCCAATACTTCTTCATCTTCATCAGCTTCCTCAAGATCCTTTTTGTCCGCTAATTTCTTCTTCATTCTCTTTTTATTCAGTTTTTCTTCCATATCGATAATTTTCGCTCTAGCCGCAGTGGCGGTCGCTCTCAGCTCCTTATTTTCTTCTTTTAATTCTTCAAGATCTTTAGAAATTTTCTTCACAGTGTTAACAGATGTGATCAGTTCGTCCTTGAGAGATTTGATATTGTCTAGTTGCTGATCCTGAGCCTGGTTTAATCCTACAATGATATCCGACTTGGACCGGAGTAAATCTTTAACCTCGGCATATTTAGTTTTAACAGTTTCTAAACTGGACTCACATAGATCTAGGTTAGAACTGAGTTTACTGTTCTCTTTATCCCTGGAGATGAGTTCCATATTGCTCTGATCCTTCTCTTCCTGGAGCTGTTCTTGTACACTACTGATAGTTTTCACGTACTGGTCAGAGGAGGTATTACACAGTTCGAGTTCATCTTTGGTTTGGATATATTTGTAGGTTAGAAAGACAAGAACGGAGAGAAGAGCTAAATGAGCAATATTCCTGGTATTCATTAGGACAGGTTTAGTTTTACTGAATTATAAGAACAGTTGTTCAGATAGTTCGGAGCTTTAACAATACACATTAAACAAGATTTTTTCACATTTTATTCATAAGTTTAGAAACAACTGATAATTAAGATTGAGAAAAGGTGGGGGGGGGGGGAGAATCAGATATCCCTTAAATGAAGAGTGATAATTACCTCACTGAGAAATCCAAATGCTATATTTCCAATTGCGACAATAAAAGAGCCAACTAAAAGAAAATTTCTTGCTCCGAGTAACTCTATATATTTCCCTAAATAAACATGTAAAATTTTTAGACATCAAAACTTATCATCATAGCACGACTATAATTCAAAGCACTTCTTAAAAATGAATTATGCAAAAAAATCAATAAATATGTTTTCAATGGTATTAAGAATGAAAAAAGCTTACCGCATATGGGAGTAAATAAAATGGTGGAGATAAATACTGATCCTATTACGAAACCAGATTGGGTAACAGTTACCCCCTAAACATACAAATATAGAACATTTTTTATTGATTCAGATTTAAAACATTTTTTGAAACATAAAAATAAGATTTTTATATTTTGGAGGTTTAAAACATCTTAGTTAATAACCTAGAGGTTTTTCTTAAACTAAATCTGATTTATGAGGTGTTTGGGAAGGAAAAGTGGGTGATTTTTTCCAAGGAAGGATAAAATTCAATTGAAAAAATTTATCTAACTGGAGAGAACACTGTATAAAAAATATGTTTATTTTTGAACGTATTAGAAAGTTATGTTGTATCAAAATCTTAAGTTTATAATTGTTTTATTTTTGTTCATTTAAAAAACTTACCTTTGTTAATGCTTCTGTTGGGTAGAAGGGAGACATTAATGACAGGGAAACCCCCGCTAATAAGAGACACCCGCTAAACAAGGATTTATTTAACAAATATTAAACTAGATTTCATCAAGATAACAGTATTTTTACTTAATATTATATTCAAGGCTCCTTTAGTTGTGTAGGATATTATAGAGTTGTGTAGGATATTATAGAGTTATGTAGAATATTAAAGAGTTGTGTAGGATTTTTAGAAGGTGGTGTAGGATATATTCAAGGCTCCTTTAGTTGTGTAGGATATTATAGAGTTGTGTAGAATATCATAGAGTTATGTAGAATATTATAGAGTTGTGTAGGATACTGGAGGGTTGTGTAGGATATTGGAGGGTTGCGTAGGATATTGGAGGGTTGCGTTTAATATTAAAGAGTTGTGTATGATATTTTAGAGTTGTGTAGGATTCTGGAAGGTTGTGTAGGATATTAGAGGGTTGTGTAGGATACTGGAGGGTTGTGTAGGATACTTGAAGGTTGTGTAGGATATTAGAGGGTTGTGTAGTATATTAGAGAGTTAAGTAGGATATTAGAGAGTTAAGTAGGATACTCGAGAGTTGTGTAGGATACTGGAGGGTAGTGTTAGAAATTGGAGTTATGTAGGATTATGGAGATTTATGTAGGGTATTACAGAGTTATGTAGGATACTAGAAAGTTGTGTAGGGTGTACGAGAGTTGTGTAGGGTATTAAAAAGTTCTGTAGGATACTTGAGAGTTGCGTAGGATATTATAGGGTTGCGTAGGATACTGGAGGGTTGTGTATGATATTGGAGGGTTGTGTATGATATTAGAGGGTTGTGTATGATAACAGAGGGTTGTTTAGAATATTATAGAGTTGTGTAGGATATTATAGAGTTGTGTAGGATATTAAAGAGATTCATAGGACATTATAGAGTTGTGTAAGATACTAGAGAGTTGTGTAGGATATTACAGAGTTGTGTGGAATATTAGAGAATTGTGTAGGATACTGGAGAGTTGTAAAGGATGTTATAGAGTTTTGTAGGATATTTAAGACTTCTTTAGAGTATAAGAGAGTTATTTTAAAGAATATCATAGAGTTGTGTGGGATACTAGAGCGGTTTGTAGGGTATTACAGAGTCTTGTAGGATATTAGAGAGTTTTTTAGCATTGTGTAGCATTTTATAGAGTTAAGTGTAGGATACTAAAGAGTTGTGTAGGATATCCCAGATTTGAGTAGGAAATTATAGAGTTGTATAGGATATTACAGAGTTTTGAAGGATTTTATAGTGTCGTGTAGGATACTAGAGAGTTATATGGGATAATTGAGAGTTTTGTAGGATGTGAGAGAGTTCTGTAGGATAATAGAGTAAGATATGGGAGGCATTGTGTAGGATACAAGAGACTTCTGTTGGTATATTGTAATATTGTACGTTTGTAGTAATTACAATGGAGTACTAATTATAATAGAGTAATACTCATACGGTTGTAATAATTACAATAGAGTAACATTGTGTGTTCTAATTTTATGATAAGAATATAGTTATATTAAATATGGAGTAATATTGCAGTAACAGGTTTGAATCTTTGATAATGAAGTTAAATTATATTTATAAATTTCTACCTGATGAGGGTCAAATTCAAAATATTTCTCGCTCTCATAACTAGACTTCTTCATAAGGATCAGGCAAACTGTTCACAAAATAACAAAAATAATTTTCAAATTAAACCAAGTCCAGCTTGACACTAACTATGCACTTTTATGAATAAAAACTAATGGCAGAAATAAACAATTTTCCTGCAAATCAGATTTAAAAATATTTTGTTTAGGATTTTCAATTATTATATTCACATTCTTACTAACTACAATATACCTTAGTATAGATAACATTCTTAAAATTTTCATGTAAGGTTTCCATACACTACTGATCTTTTTATTTTTATTAAACTGTGTACAACTGTAAAACAAGGTGTACAGTGTACACTGCTTAAATCAAGGAATGTAAAAAAAGGAACTGACGTGTTACAATCTCCCGTCCTTCCCCGCCTTTTCTTTCCCGTCCGTATTCACCCTTTTCCTCTACTTCAAAGTGTCTCCGTCTTTCCCCTCAATTATCCTTTCTAGTGTATAGCTCTCATGTTTTTTAAAAATTATTCTTCCTAGTGTCTCCCGTCCTTCTCACATATCCTTCTTATTGTCTCTCATCCCTTTCAATTATCCTTCCTAGTATCTCCCGTCCTTCTCAATTATCCTTCCCAATGTCTCCCGTCCTTCTCACTTATCCTTCTTATTGTCTCTCGTCCTTTTCAATTATCCTTCCTAGTGTCTCCTGTCTTTCTCAATCATCCTTCGTAGTCTCTCCCGTCCTTCTCAGTTATCCATCCTAGTCTATCTCGCTGTTCTGAATTATCCTTCCTAGTGTCTCTCCAGTCTTTCTAAATCATCCCCTTCCTAGTGTTTCCCGTCCTTCTCAAATATCTTTCCTAGTGTCTCTCGTCTTTCTTAAATATCCTTCTGTTTGGACCTCAATGTCTTTAACATCTTCCCAGTGTCTCCCGTCCTTCTCAAATATCCTTCCTAGTGTCTCCCGTCCTTCTCACATATCCTTCCTAGTGTCTCCCGTCCTTCTCAAATATCTTCCTAGTGTCTCCCGTCCTTCTCAAATATCTTCCTAGTGTCTCCCGTCCTTATTAGATGTCCCTCCTAGTGTCTCCCGTCCTTCTCAAATATCCCTGCTTTTCGTCCTTTTCCAACTTAACAGTTTCAACACTTAAAATATATATAATACTGGAGTATCTGAAACCCTGCAATCTTAACTCTACGCTGAGGATGGAAGTTACAACAATAAGAGTTAATAAGCACTGATACTTCTATTGTCACAACTCACAGCTAGAAAATAGGAGGTTAGTTTCTGATTAGGGTTTTTATATAAATACAAACGTTCTCCAAATGATTTAACACCTCTGATAATGTAGTTTTTAGGTAAAATGAATATAATAAGTATAAACTAAAATAATATTTAAGCAAAATTTGAAAAACTGATTTCCAACAAATCTTCAATAATATAAAAAAGCTTCGATGTGCCATGTGTTCGACCTGCAGCAGAGCTCCACGATCAAAGTTAATGTTTTCAGATAAATGCGCGAAAAAAAATACGTTCAGAGAAGAATTTGTGAAATATAAAAATTAAATTAATTATTTTCCTAAGTTTTGCAATGTCTTGGTCTCACTCAAACTGAGGACTGAATAAAGCTCTAGGTTAGGTTACGAGCTTATATGTGTCTTATCTCTGCGCGGTTCAAGTTTGTCTCCAGGTCTTGTGAGCAAACGGAGAGGGGAGTGTAGCTTCTGATCCAAAAACAAGAAATTTTCAATATTCAGGGAATATACAAACAAAATATTTAAATATTGAAAAATTATGTATAGGGTATAGGGAGAGGAGATCAAATATTAGGATCCTGGCACCGTCCATGCCCCGTGACTTCAGATGAAAAAAATTATGTAATTTTCACAATTTTCTTCAGCTTTTGCCCTAGAAATTCCGGTTTTTACATTTTGGGAGAGCAAAGGCACATATATCAATGCAACATGTATATATGTGAGCAATCACTGTTAATTGTCTCCGGTTTCAAGTACCAGGCCGACTTTTAAGCAGCTAGAGCAGGCTGTACAGTGTATCACTTTATACGGACTATATAAGGGCAAAACGGGACATCTACGTCAAATGAATCAGCCTCTTCTACGGAGATTTTAGTACAATGTATGAGTGTATCTAAATCTGCAAGCAGAATCGGATGCAAGCTTGTTTAAAAGAAAAGTTTAAAAAGAAAATTGAATTTATCTAAATTGTATTCATGTGAATTGTATTTATGTAAATTGTACTTATGTAAATTGTATTTATGTGAATTGTATTTATGTAAATTGTATTTATGTAAATTACAGTTATGAAATTGTATTTATGTAAATTGTATTTATGTAAATTGTATTTATGTAAATTGTATTTATGTAAATTGCAGTTATGAAATTGTATTTATGTAAATTGTATTTATGTAAATTGTATTTATGTAAATTGTATTTATGAAATTGTATTTATGTAAATTGTATTTATGTAAATTGTATTTATGTAAATTGTATTTATGAAATTGTATTTATGTAAATTGTATTTATGTAAATTGTATTTATGTAAATTGTATTTATGTAAATTGTATTTATGTAAATTGTATTGCATGTGCCACAGAGGAAAGAATGTACGATATGCAATGTGGATTATTCTAGAAAATACAAGATGAATTTTAAAAGAATAAAATTATAAAAACTTGTAATAAATATTAATATTATATAATTTAATGGACTGTCATTTTAATTTCAAGTGATCCTCAATTTTCAGGGAGTGTTCGCGAAAATGAAAGTAATGAAAAATTATCGATGGTGATCGCTACTAATCTTACTTTTATCTCTTGCGTCTATATAAAGAAAATTGTTAAAAACTACTCATACCGGAGAACGTAGGGTTCACCCAAATTCAGAAAACTGCAACATTTAACTCGGATCGTAAAATAATCAATTTAATTCCAAACAAATCATTCAGATACAAAGAGAACAGAATATATATTAGAGTGGCATTTAGACAATCCCTCGGTATGAATTTCAGCCCCTTTCAGCCTGAAAAGGAGTTCAAAGTGTACAAATCATGTAAACGTTCACAAATTATATGCAGTAGTTAATACAGTATGTTCTCTAGACTATCCATTTCAATTTCGAATTTTTTAAGCTGTTAAATAAACTTTATAAAATGAATTAGGTGAATAAAACACATCAATTGATTTATAGGTATAACGGAAATTCATCGTTTGTAAAGTGAAAGGCATAGAGTCTATGTGAAATGATCATTGGTCAATTATGAAACCAGCCTATTTCATAATTTGGGTTTCTTTTAATATTAATTTTAGATTTTCTATAAAATGTTAATCCAGGGTCCAAAAGGTTATAGAGCACAAATATGTGAAGTACACCTGCAGTATGGAAACAATACAACAAAATGGCCGTTTTACACTTTTTTCTAGTAAATTCCACTCTTATATATATTCTATTCTCTTTGTTCCGATATCACAACCTATAATCATCATTAATTTTTCGACGCATATAAAGTTGATATTTCATAATATTTTTTACTTGTTTATTAATTTTTTTTTGTATCAGAATTTTTAAACATTTACAAAATATTATTTAACGCAGAACACCAAATTTAATTTAAGATATTGGAACGTTAAAAGTTTGAGGTCTTTATAAAAGTCTTAACCTTTGTTAGGAACCCATTATTTGGACCTCATGTATATATGGGGGGGGAGGGGCTGGGAGAATCATTTAGAAGGGGTTGGGGGTAGGGGGAGCTCTCACGGAAATTTCCACGTCTTTAAATCCTATAAAAACCCAAGAAACAGACTCCAGGACTCCAAGACACTATTATTGGAAGGCAACAATTAGTTATAGTTTGTAATAAAAGTGTGCAAATATATTTTTAAGATGCAAGTATAGATTTTTAGAATAACTTTAATAATTTAAGGATCAATGCTTGATCCCCCAATTAAAGTTATTTCTGCAGACAAACTCCGTTATTTCAGAGGTGTACGCATCCTTTGACTGCAGTGTACTGACTCCGGGCGGTAATGTAAACACAAGACGGATGCACAGCCTTGCATTATAACCTTGGTTGTGGTGAAATTTTGATTTATAATTTAAAATTATATGTAATATAAGATTTAAGTTATAATTTTAATGACAAGAATTATTTATCACCAGTCACATTTGAATTTAAAAGATAAGAGTACAATTAATGATTGCGAGAAATAGAGAGAGAGAGAGGTGTATTGAAGAGTTTTTCAACATTTATAATCAAAGTACTGTTATAAAAAGATTTCTATTGTATGAAACATTTGTCTGGAATCAGTTTCTAGAACCAAAATAAGTATTATTCTAGGAGTTTTAAGGCATGTTTCACAAGGAATTTTTGACAAGCATTAAAAATGGCCGTCGCAAATGATTTGTTTAAAACTTTTATTATTATAAAGGCCTTTTTGTAAACATGTCTCAAAATTCCGAAAAAAAACTATTTCGGTTCTTAAATATGATTTTAGAAAAGATTTCACCCTTATTGTACCAATTAGTTAAGAACCTTTTTTCACTATGCTTTCTTAGATACAATACTTGTTGATTTTCCCCCTTTATTCTTCTCAATTTTCTTACTTATCATTATTTTTTAGTCCGGGACTCACTTATTTATAGTCCGGGACTTACTTATTTTATAGTCCGGGACTCACTTATTTTATAGTCCGGGACTCACTTAATTTATAGTCCGGGACTCACTTATTTTATAGTCCGGGGCTCACTTAATTTATAGTCCGGGGCTCCCTTAATTTATAGTCCGGGGCTCCTTTATTTTCCTACTTTTTTCAACTTTTGACTCGTAAAATTTTTACAAGAACTGACAAAAAAAATGCGACGATCAAAGAGGATTCAACAGTAGGGTTTCCAACTGAATAAGAATAAATCTACCTCCTAGATGCTTGACAAGGCTGTGTGTGACCTGCTGAAAGAAGTTTACGGGACGATTATTACAAATGTCAAAATTTGTCACACCAAGTTCTTTATATTATCTAATACTATCTATCTATCTATCTATCTATTTGTCACACTAAGTTCTTTATATTATCTAATACTATCTATCTATCTATCTATCTATCTATTTTTCACACTAAGTTCTTTATATTATCTAATACTATCTATCTATCTATCTATCTATCTATTTGTCACACTAAGTTCTTTATATTATCTAATACTATCTATCTAATTCAAAAATCAGTTAAGAAAGGTTTCGCCGTTAATTTAATTTCTATTTTTTGGTTTATTATATTTAACAGGGGTCTGCAAATTGATCCGTAAAAAATTGAAAAGCCTATTCAAAAGTCAATTGATTCCTATTTTTG